AATATTTATAATATTTTCTATGTTGAAAATTAAATCAATCAAACACGTTTAATTAATAATTTTCATACGCATATTATAAGCAATTAAATTGCTTGAAATTTCTACATGTTTGATCCACATTTCTTTAAAAAATGCATTATTTTAATACTCATTTTCAACAAAATAATATTACACGCAAATTCAAAAATTGTCCTTTTTTTTAACCACATATTTTCCATCATATCACTATTTAAAATGCATTCTCTCTTTGAGAATGTGCATAAAAAGGGGCTTTTTTTTATTTCCATACAAATTTCACACACAATCAAATGCACGATTATAAATTAATCCCATTTTTCCTTCTTAATGAGATATGAAATCGTGGTCATTACAAGAAGGAATCATGGAAACAAATTTCTGTTTTTTTTTTTTTATCATTATTTAAATTCAGTCACCATCACAGGTCTGTTGAGTGCATATTTGGTACGTGAAAGTGGATACAAACTAACGAAATTAAGAAATAGCTAACTAATTAAACGTGTGTCATATAAACTCATCAATTTATTCGATTTAGTTTGAACATCAAACATTTTACGTATATATGAAATTTCAAAAATATATAATAAATTATGATTGTACAATTGTTAAACTCGCATACGTATACACCACCGACACCCATCGAGCAATCACTTGTCAGAAATTTTAAAACCAACCTATAAAAATGGAGTGAAACCCATAAACCTTAAACCTTATAAAGTCGGTGGACAATTTTACTCAGCTTGGGGAAGATACGTTGATCGTGTGCCTCATAGTAGACATGCCACTCGACCGAGATAGTCAATGCTAACACTATTTGTCTCGTTAAAGCTAACTTCGAGGCAAGCACGAGTACTTTCATTAATATACCCACGCAATCTATATGAGGTCGATCAAGTTGCAATGTCACTTAATCGGTCACCACTTGTGTGATGTAACGTTTTAGTGTCTCCGCATCTCTATTGATACCGGTGGTCATCTTCTTGGTATCTGTATTCGCTCATAAACTCATGTAAACCCCTCCCACTAGTAAATTACACGTTAAAGCCTAAATGTCGAGTAAGTACGTTATTCGACCGATTGACTCTCCACCTTATGGTACTTAGAGTTGACACGAAGAACTAACCCTTAGGCGCTCAATCAAAAACTACGAATTTGACCAAACAACCATTAAATCGATCATAATCACTCATCTCCAGTACATGTGTTGTGACGATCATGGCATCGTGGATGCACCGTTACCTATATTTTCGCTACATCTTCAAGAAATGCACATAGGTCCATTCATAACTAAATCACCTTGATGCCACATCAATAAAAAACCCATGTAAAGGTTAGTGCATAAATAGCGTTAATGATCAACCCCATCCCTTCGAGACTTAATGCTCAACTCAATATCGAACAAATATTGAGTTACTTACATAATAGAACAAATAAAATTACACAAAATTGAATCAACGGATCCCACCGAATATGTGGTAATAGGTGGTAGAGAGTTTTGAATCTCGATAAAAAATATGTTTAACCTGCTAAGAACAAAAATTGAAAAAGTTAAGCGATGCCGAACTTACCCTCATAGATGATGCGCCTCCATTAACGCCTCGAACCTTGGATTATGAATGGGCTGGATTAGGGGCAAATTAGGATGGGATCCAAGTATTCGAAACAAATCCCAAAGGGAAAAATTTATGGATCAGGTATTATCTATCATGAAATCAAAAATCAGGCCCCAAGTTTTAAAATTGCAAAAATTATGTTTTCCATGAATTAATTAATTATATTTCACAATTATTATATTAAATTAAATATTAAACTGTAATATAATATAATTAACCAATCCCTCTACTCCGACGACTACTCCGGTGACCGGCAACAACTCCGGCGATTTTTTCGAGGTCACAGATCAAAAATTTTGTAGGTCACGACATTTAATATGGGAAAAATTTACAACTCAGGCTTTATCTATCTCAAAATCAAAAATCAGGTCCCAAGGTTTAGAATTGCAAAAATCAGGTTTTTCATAAATTAATTAATTATATTTCACAATTATTATATTAAATTAAATATTAAAAAATAATATAATATCATCACCGCACCGCACCCCACCTCTCTTACTGATCCGGCGACTACTCCGGTGACCGACGACCACTCCGACGACTGTTCTCTGGTTACATATAAAATTTTTTGTAGGTCACAGATTATTTTTGAGTCACATATTATTGAATTTTTAGATCACAGTTGAGTAATTGGTCACAAATTACCAAACATTTGATCACAGATTACCAAACATTTGGTCACAGAGTACCGGTCTATGGCCACTTTCAACCACCCTCACCACGTCGCCACCGCCACAACAGCACCAACAAAGCTACGACAACCACCTCCACCACCAATCACTTGCATATTACCTATTCTATAGGTCACAAATGTCAAACATCTCCAACATAAACGCGTCCACAGCCTACACCTCCACCTACGAAAAAAAATATGACTAAAATGTTCATGTCGATGAGTGAACAACAGCACCAACAAAGCTAATGACAACCACCTCCACCACCAATCACTAGCATATTACCTATTTTATAGGGCACAAATGCCAAACATCTCCAACAGAAACACCCCCACAGCTCACACCTCCACCACAGCCACCACCTCCACCTCCACCTCCACCACCGCCCAACCACCTCCACTTCGCCACTGTTGAAAACTACATCAGCATGAAAACCCCCCGCCCAATCCAAAGTCACCGGTGCCAACACGAGCACACCATTGCAAACACCATCGCCATACGTCCTACCTAGATCCACCGCATCACCATCACCACACAACCTCACCAATACCACCCAAATCACTACTGCCAACAACCACCACCGTCGTCTTACCTAGATCCACCACACCACCATCACCATCACCACACCTTCAACCCACATCCACATCCACACACACCCACCACCCACCCACCTACATCCACACACACCACTGCGATTGAACGGCGTCGCAACGCTGCGGGAAGAGATCTTTCTTCGAAGAAGAACTCGATTTCTTTGGATCGCAGACATGAGCATTGTTGGCTTCTCATTTCTGTAGGAATAGAGGGAGGAAGTTTAAAAACGAGTAATGTGCCGGAAGCAGCTTCGACGCTGTTGTGAATTAGGTTAAGACGGGAGGGGGGGAGGAGAAGGGTGGACTAGGGTGAAATGACAGAGAAGAGACGGAAGAGATAGGAAGAGACAGAAGGGAGGAGGAGAAGGTAGGAGTAGGGTTTGGGAATTGGATTGAAATTTGGGGGTAGGGGTGGGTATATAAAATAATTTAATTTAAAATATTATTATTANAGGATTGGGGTTTGAGAATTGAAATTTGGAGGTAGAGGTGGATATATATTTAATTTAATTTAAAATATTATTATTAATATTAATTGTGAAATTAAAACCTAATTTTAGATTAATTAAAGTATAAACTTGATTCTCAGAAATATCAAACTAAACACCCGATTTAGTGTAATTTCCACAATCCCAAATGTCCGGTCATGCTTAATAGTTGCAACTTACAAGTCATTAAGTAAATTTTAAAATAATATTTTTATTAATTAAGCCCATGTTTGGCCAATGTATCAATTTTCAATCACACAATATAATATTTTGCACGAAAATTCAAAATTTTTTATTACTTTTTAACTACACATTCTCAAAAAACTCACTGTTGAAGACATTATTTTTACCAAATAATTTCCATCCTTAAGTCAAAATAAATAAGTTAATTAATTTAGAAAAAAGTTTAAAAAATCATGGGTGATAAAGTTACTTCAAACGTTTTATATCCAGTCATGCTCCAATGAAATATTTCTCTAGCAAACGTGAATCTCAGGGCAAAGAATAAAAAATCTCCAATGGCTGGATTGTTCTGTTTTCCTCCTCTACGCTCGACAATTAACGCCCCAATTCTTCCACACAATGGGATTACGCGCCCAAATGACCCTATCATATATCACCCATTTCCATTTTCAACACGTGCCCAGGTTGTATCCAGAAAGGATCGTTCACGCAGCAGAACCAGGGCTCTAAGGGAGTGGCAGGAATACGAGGAGGCGGTGAAGCATAAAGACCTGGCCAAAGCTCTCAGATTCTTGAAAGATATACCCATTGAATCTGAAAATTCTTTGATTGAGTCAACCCAGTTGTCGGGTGGTGAGTTGGGTTTGTTTGGATCAGATAGGGATTGGGAGGTTCTGGACACGTGCTTGAATGCTGATGATATGAGGCTGGTGGGTAGTGCTTATGCTTTTCTGAAAGACAGGGGGTTCTTGCCCAATTTCGGAAAATTCCGCAATATTGGTAATTTACCTGTTTCTTAGAGATTAATCAATTGTTCTACACTAAGTATGATTTTTAGTGAATGTTGTGCTTAGATTTGCATTTGATGACAGTTTAAATTTAGCTTCTATTTTGTAAATACTTTAATTGTGTTGTGTCTAACATAGATAATATAAGGCTTGTCCGTTCTTCTAACCATTTCAACGTGATTGCAAATTTGCAATGATTGGTATCGCCCTTCTGAGGACGATCTGTGTATGCAATGGACCTGACTAGACTCAGGTCTACTTGCAGTAGAACAGTGGTTTAGTGAAGTGACCTAACTGAGGGCTTTACTTGTGAGCTTATAATCACCTAGACACCCTCTACTTATAAACCGGTTTGAAGGATAGTTTTCCTCAATGTGGTTGAAATATATTATTCGACATACTCTGGTTGCATATTTTCATCTTGCCATCCATTTAGGTTGTTCTAACTTGTTAATTTCACTGTATTACAATAATTAAAGCATGAAATTATTTAAGTATATAGTTGACACTTGGAATTAAGTTAATACTTAGTTGAAACCTGTAAAAAGTCCATAATAACGTGCAATTCTTAATCTAAAATTTCAAATATTTTGGTCAAAAGGTTCGCAAGTTTCCTCAAGGTTTCCAAATTTGATTAAAAAATAAAAAAAATATTAGGAAACCTTTTGGAGTTTCCAAAGAGTTTTGGTTTCCATGCAACCTAGCATCAAACAGATGATATCGGGGGCGTTGGTACACGATCAGCTGGGACTTCAATGCCTAATCTAGCATTGCAGCAAAATTAGTCACTGGCGCTTGAGTGCGCATGTGCGTGTGTGTACGAGAGAGATAGATTACTCACCTGTACTGTATACATGATGGGGTATTTTAGTTGACAACCTGCATGGGAATTAAACACTGGTTTTGTTCATAGGGTGACTAGTGGTGTTGAACTACTTGGGTTGTTCTTCCACATTATACCACTTGGAGGGTTAAGTTGCTGAGTGAAATTATCAATTTACCATAACTTCTGTGTGCAGATAATAGTGAAAGCATCCTTATCAATTTCCTTTGTGTCGTTGAGTTAAAAAATTGCTGAAGTTTTTTAATCGATGAATTCAAATACTTGATCTTATGGATTTTTGCTCTTCTGGTATAACCTTACTTTCCAACACCAAATATTTTATTCCACGTGGAATGCACTAGTTGCTCACAGTCACTCTGGATGCATAAACCTATCATTAGGAGCATCATGAAAGCAAATACTTGAATAATTGTCTTGTGCAGTATTGGAGGGACCAAGAGAAGTTACACCAACTGTGTTGAAGACTTCAACTGGTTTAGAAGGTACAATTCCCACACGGAGATAGGAAATGCTACGCAACCTTTTCAGAGCCATTACGAGTCGTACTTCTTACCATTTACATAAATTAGTATTTCAGTTTACCGTGTTTAGTTGAAGCAGTTAAGATTCTATACTGTTTTGTAGATATGCATCAACGTCCTTTATTATTTGTTCCTCTATTTACTTTTCCTGTTCCAGTGTCAAAATTTTCACCAAAAAAATGGGGTGTTTCTGGAAGCTCTAGTGTTGTTTCGATCTTTCTGTTTGCTGGAGTGTCTTTTCTTCTGAATCAAGGAATAGATATCAGACCTAACCTAGCAGCAGTATTGGGGCTGGCCATGTTAGATGCTATTTTTCTTGGTGGTTCATGCTTAGCCCAAATCTCAAGTTACTGGCCTCCATATAAGCGTCGCATTTTAGTGCATGAAGCTGGTCATCTTCTTGTAGGTAAGCTATGTTCGCCATCAATATGTTGAAATGGTACTGCATTACCAAGCAAAATATGTCAAAACTCCAGCCATACATGATTACTATGTCTTTATTAAAAATTAAGGGCCACCTTTAGGAACTTCAGGATTACTGTTCCATGCATATGATGCCCAGAATACATTTTTAGTGCTTTATGACATAATGCCTAATACACTTATAACCTGCATACTCTGCAGTCTGCCCAAAAGCCTGGATAAAGAAGTAATAGCTGAACATTGTTGTGTTTTCCATTACGCTTAAACCCTGTGATTTTGGGAATAATATAGAGGCTTACTCAAAAACTCTGATTCTAGGAAGAATACAGTCATAGTTTGTCTATTCTCCTAACATAGATGTTGAATTTGCAGCATACCTGATGGGTTGCCCAATTCGAGGTGTAATTTTAGACCCAATTGTTGCAATGCAAATGGGCATTCAGGGGCAGGTATATCTAATCTGGCACATGCTGTTGTGTCATATTTCCTGATATCATTCATCATTATGTTAATTTAATCCTCTGTGTTATATTGCTGACATGAACTTTTTGAGTTACCTTTTTTTTCTTTGTTTAAGTTCACCACACCAGTTGTTGCTCTTATAGGCTTCTTCCTTACTAGATGAACATTGTGTCTTATAATTTGTCAATCAGCATACACTAGCACATTGAATTCAACATCGATGAATTTTGTTTTGCCATGATTTGTCTTGAAGCTTTTTGAAGGGAGAGAAGTCTTACAAGATAGAATTTATTTTCCAATATTGAGTTTTTTCTTCCCTGCCCGGGAAATTAAAATAATTTACAAGTGATGTTTGAAAACTTATGTTTCTATGACAACTTTTTTGGATAAAAAAAATTACTCAGTTTGAACTTTCTTTATGATTTCCATTACCTGCCAATATCTTGTTTCGATGCCCATACTGTGTATTTTTCATGGCCTCATATTTATCTGGATGTGGCTTTTGCAGGCAGGAACTCAGTTTTGGGATGAGAAACTGCAAAATGAGCTTGCTGAAGGCCGTGTTAGTGGCACTGCCTTTGACAGGTTGTAGTGTGAGGTTCTAGTCAAAGTTGCTTCCAATTGTTCTTTGCATCACTTTTAGATTTTCAAAATAGGTTCTCTAATGCTTAAAGCTATGGATTTTAGCTTGAGTGGATGTAGTTGTAAATCTTTTCTTGCAAGAACTCGTGTAAGCATTCAATTCCTTTAATAAAATGTTTCATTGCTGGAAAATGTCAGGTATTGCATGGTTCTCTTTGCTGGGATTGCAGCAGAGGCTCTCGTCTATGGGGATGCTGAGGGTGGAGAAAACGATGAAAACCTTTTTAGGAGCATCTGTGTTCTTCTGGAACCTCCACTCTCTGTTGCACAGGTCTGTTTCTGATCATAACTGTTTCCTGTGGTAAATAATGAAAGTAAACAATCAGGCCCTCTTCTTGGGAAACTTACCTACACCAAGTAATATAAATTTTCAGGAGACACTTCTGTTCGGGTTGAGTTGCTCTCTATTCCATTAATGGATGTATTAGCCTATGTTTGGCTCATGTTTATAAACACTCAAGCCACATTTTATCCACTTGAGGGACCCACAAGTGCTAACCACTTATCCTCTATTCATTGCTATCTTTTTATAATTTAAATCGTTTATAAACACTCCCCTAATTTAAATCCTGATGCTCAAATTCAAATTCAAATTCTTATATCATTGATGAACGAGCACGTAAATGGGTGAGGATTGGAATAAGAAGTTGCAAGTTTTGATTGTCTTATGCTGGCCCTATAGTCATAGTTAGAGGGCTGATTGGGTGATGTCGCGTGTCATGATTCAATGTTCATGGCATAGGTGGAGATAATGATGATAAAACTTGTAGCTGAGGTTAGAGATGATGATATGATATGAACCAGTAGATGATGATGAAAACAGAAAATGGTGTTAACATTTGGTGGTGAGTGAAGAAAGGGTAATCAAAGGCCTGAGCCTGCAAGGTGGAAACAATATTTGGTGCTAAATCTAGTGTTGGTAATTGTTGTTTTGGAGATAGTAGAGGCAGCTAAGATTTAGTAGTGGACAGTGTGTGGGTAAGGAGTTGAGAAGGATTGATTGGAAACGGTTTAGGTAGGTATGTTTGGAACTATGTATAGAATGACTTTATTAGATTACAGCTTATTGCGAACGAGGGGAAATATAGAGCTTGTTTGAGAGAGATTTTTTAAAAGTCATTTTTCCTGGAACTCATTTTCAACCACACATTTTATGGGACCGATAATTTTTCCTTGTTAAATCACATATTCTCCAAAAAAAATTATTTTTCATTTAGAAAAATCTCTCCTGATCAAGCTTCTAGTCTTCTTTGAATTTGGACAAATACTTGACAGGAACGTAATATAAAGAATTCTCCTTACCAATTTTCATTACTTGTGATAGCTAAATGCGCGTTGCTTATAAGTTCAGGGGGTTTGATTGCGCATTCCCTGTAAACATTCATTTCAGTATGAACTCTGACACGGGGCATTTTTTACAATAGATGTCAAATCAAGCGCGTTGGTCGGTGCTTCAATCTTACAATCTGCTCAAATGGCATAAACGTGCTCACAGTGCTGCTGTCAAAGCTCTTGAAAATGGAAGCAGTCTGAGTGTAGTCATACGGAGAATTGAGGAAGCCATGTCTTCTATTTGATGAACTGCATTTTGTTCATCGTCACAAAAGATCAGTTAGATTTCTGATATCTCCAAATCCTCCCAGGCTGCCACATCTTTATAAATGAAAATAACTAAGAACCTGTTGGGACCTTGGTCAAGAGAAAGTGGATCCACGGACAATGTTGCATTACACTGGCTCCATGTGCTCTTCATTGGCGATCCCTGTTTACATACTGTAGTGGATGGCCTTGTTTCAGATTTGGAAACGTTTGCCCATCTATAAGGATATATCCATTGAAGCTTGAACTGAAACTTCAACTGCAAAAGATATGTTTATGCATCAAAATCTTACTGAAGTGTGTAACCTTGTTACTTTTCCCCGAGATGAAGAGGATGTCATGACTGCATGTTTCCGGAGGATATTCGGCTCAGCTAGACTTCTCAGCAAAGTATGTTTCTACTTGTTTTTTGAAAGTTACTTTTAAGCCTAGCTTCTCGATGGAAAGAGAACTCCGGAGCAAAGTTTTCTGGTGAATGAACGGCCAAGACCTGACATCTTGTGAAATTTTGTTGTAATATGATTTATACTAGCAAATCGAGGAACATGCCGCTCAATGTAATATTGCCGTACTTTCAAATCAAATCAAAGCAATTTAACTTGTTGGAGTTGATCTAAGAACTGATATGTACGTTTTGTGACATGACCAAAATGGTAATGTACTGTTTAGAAATTAGAACTATCCCATCCATCTACAGGCATCTTTTTTGGCTTATGTGGTTCTGATTGAAGAAATGAGAACGGGCGAGTCAATAAAATTGAATATCATCTTTTGAATTTGTAGTTGGGTGAAAATAATAAGGGAGAAAGTGCGATAAATTTCGAAGCTTAGTCGATAATACAACAATTCTTAAATTTAATCGAAGAAAAATAAGAAATTCTTAAGAGAAAAAGACAAAAATCTAAACTATAAAATTCGAAGTTTTTTTGATAATACAATTGTATTCTTAATTTCAATAAAAAAGAAAAATGTGAAATAGAAATTTTTATTTTAAATATTTTTATCACTATAGTCACATTTTTCTGTCTGCAATAATTGAAAAACATATTTTTTATATTTTAGTTTATGAACATTCTGACGAGAATAAGTAATAAAAAGTAAAATAAAAATATTATTGATGAAAAGAGACAAAATAACAAACATAAAATAAAAATAAAAATGAAGATTTAACATTTGTAGTAGAGTTTTTGTGTCGTTGGTTATTTTTTACAAAAAAAAGGATCACAATTGATTTGATTTACCTCTATGGTCTTTGTCTGTCAAATAAAATAATTTAGAAAATTATGTCGTCAGTTATCTTCTATATATTAAAAGTGGCTATGTAACGTGATTTCTTGTTTTTAACCAAAAAACTAACGAAATTTGTTGTTTTAACGGACTATGTAACGAAATTTGTTGTTTTAAACAGATAGTTGCACATTTCTTCAGTATTTTTATCATAACTTTGTATTCCGATATCCTATTGAGGCGATGGAAAATGCGTTGGAAAGCTAACTCATCTGGATACAACTTTAATTTAGACATCATTCTTCAATTCGATCACTTCCTATGCCAAAAAACGGCATGAAAGTTTAGTTTAGTTGGCAATTTAACTTGTTGGAGTTGATCTTAGAACTGATATGTACGTTTTGTGACATGACCAAAATGGTAGAAATTAGAACTATCCATCCATCTACAGGCATCTTTTTTGGCTTATATGGTTCCGATTGAAGAAATGAGAACGGGTGAGTCAATAAAATTGAATATCATCTTTTGAATTTGTAGTTGGGTGAAAATAATAAGGGAGAAGTGCGATAAATTTCGAAGCTTAGTCGATAATACAACAATTCTTAAATTTAATAGAAGAAAAATAAGAAATTCTCAAGAGAAAAAGACAAAAATCTAAACTATAAAATTCGAAGTTTATTTGATAATACAATTGTATTCTTAATTTCAATAAAAAAGAAAAATGTGAAATATAAATTTTTATTTTAAATATTTTTATCACTATAGTCACATTTTTCTGTCAGCAATAATTGGAAGACATATTTTTTATATTTTAGTTTATGAACATTCTGACGAGAATAAGTAATAAAAAGTAAAATAAAAATATTTATTGATGAAAAGAGACAAAATAACAAAACATAAATAAAAATAAAAATGAAGATTTAACATTTGTAGTAGAGTTTTTGTGTCGTTGGTTATTTTTTACAAAAAAAAAAAAAGGACCACAATTGATTTAATTTACCTCTATGGTCTTTGTCTGTCAAATAAAATAATTTAGAAAATTATGTCGTTAGTTAAAAATAATAATATAACAAACAAATATTTGTTAGCAATACTACAAATGTAAATATTTCAATAATTTTAGCACCTTTTTTGCTTTGACTAAAAATCAGGTTTTCAGTTTATTACGACAAAAATTAACGAAATGTATGATTAAAAAGTTGATAAAAGTCGTGAATTTCATAAAATATGTGGTTTAAAATTTTTAAAAAATTGAGACTGAAAAAATGCTTATTAATTTATGAACAACAGTCGATTAATAAAGTAATTAAAATATAACTAAATTATTATTGAAGAAAAATTATTCTATAATTAAAAAACAGAGCTAGTATTATAAATAGAAAATAAAATAAAATCTAAGTGTTTTGAAAAATGAAAAAGCATGAAGAAATAATAAGTTTTTTTTTTTTTTTTTCATCGACAATACGAAGTAATTTCTGTGATTGTGGACGACATCACGAACAACATTATCATCGATAATCATCGACATTTATGCATAGGTGAAGATTAAATTTTTAGTAAATTTTGATAAAAAATGATAAAATATATAGAAAGTTAATAAAAAATAATTTATCAAATATATAAAAAAATTAATTATTAATTTTGTTTTAAATTTTTATATTTAAATTTATCAAATATGAAGATATTAATAATAATCTTTTTTCGCTTAAAAAGGATTATTAAATCCACCTGGCCAGGGCATTAATACGCACGGCAGGGTTTGGACCTTGGACAACTTTCCACTCGCACTCAACCTACGCTCTTCAGCTTACCCTTTCCGCTAAACGGTCATAGTCAAAATTTTTCCACCGCTGGAATGAGCAGCTGGAGAAATTTAGTGCTTCGAATTGGTGAGAAGTGCCCTGACTATGGCGGAAATGACGACTTCAAAGACCATATTGTAAGTGTTCCACTCCCACTTTCCTCCGAAACCCTAGTTTCTTTTGAAAATTCGCCGTGAAGCCGCCATCTTATTTACTCATAAGGATTCGAATTATGTTTAAGTTTGCTTGTTTCTGAAGTTAAGTGTGTTTTAATTGCATTTATAGGAGACGTGCTTTGGTGCCGTTCGCCGTGAATTTGAGTACTCCGAGGACGATATTTTAGAGGTGGAATATTTTCTGTCTATTTTATTAGTTTTCTTTATTTTACCTTTACCTTTCATCTCTATATTTTATTTCTATCACTCGCTGGACTCGACTATAAGTTTTTTAGTAGCTACACAAAAAAGATTATGGACTAAAAATAAGTTTGTCGTCGAGGTTTGTTGTCAGAGGGAAAGGTTTGTGAATCAAAGATGAATTTCCCACTTTATTAATTGTCAGTTGACCTTATTATTGACCTAAGAAGCATGAATTCAAATAAGTAATTCGAATAGGATACAGGTTTGTTCATACAGCTTTTAAACAAAACTTTAGGATGCGCGTGAGTAGTATGTCTAATATTTTTCATAAGATAAATATAAAATTCAGTATATTTCATTGCATTAATATAAAAAACGTTGAAATAGAAAACTGTCAATAAAAATAAAATGTAATATTAAAGCATTTTTTCTTGATTCTTAATTGTCCCAACTTTATTTTCTTCAACATCACCACCTTGAACTTATTCATTATCATTAAAAACAACAATATTCAATCCTGGCTCATCTAATGATACATTAGCAACCTAAATGCTTGTTTGTTTCCCATTTTGGGGGAAGAAATAGAGTCTTGAATAGTATTTTTTGGAGAATGTGTGGTTGAAAAGTAAAGTAATTTTATTGATTTGTGGGTAGAATATTTTATTGAGTGAATATGTGGTAGAGATTTTTTACTGTAACAATCAATGTTTGATAAAATGGATGACAAACAGAGGCTAAATTAGCTTAACACCTTTAAGGGCGTGTCTGGGCGCCCTATCTATCAGAATTTGGACCGTTGGTAAGCATTTTTTGGACCGTTGTACAATTAAAAATTGCAAATATTCTGACAACTTTGCAGTACCTAATCAGACCATTTAGACTCACATTCCCAATTTGACCCTCCTCATTACACGAAATTTCAAAGGCTGCAAGTCTACTCAAAATGGTCAAAAGTGGTGATAATTGGATGTGAGAGAAAGTAGTGAATTTGCACATGCAATGAGGATAAAATTGTCCATTTAGTTCCATTTCTCCAGAACACGTGTAAAGGATGGTTGTAGTGGGACATTTTGATTTGACTCAAAAATCGATTTTGGTTTGGGAAAATCTCTCGTAGACGCACCCTAAGAGTATCAAATGAGTTTTCCATAATATCATATATTTTGAATTCTCCTTTTGAATAAATATTTTATTTTCCTAATAAAAGATTCATATTGCCATGAACGAAAGTCTATTCTTCATCTCATTGTGGAGTTATTTTAATCATTCTCATAGAGTGCACAAAAAAGGTATGCGCTCCTTGTTAATTAATAAATATTAACTATATTCAATAAGTTATTGATAATAATAATAGTTATCTATTAATAAAAAAGATATAATCTATTGTCAATAATAATAAAATGAGTTTCGAAAGAGTTTAAACTCAATAAAATTCTTCTCTTCACGTATCCGATACCTATTGAAAATCTAAAGAAAATAAAAAATAAAAATTAGAAAACATGTATTCGGTTCTATCTGAGAGTGTCCAAGCATGTCCAAGCTTAGACACGTAACGGATACGTGTGCGCAATAAGTTTACAAGTATTCATGCTTTTTAGTTATTGACTCAAATTGAAAATTATATAGGCACGGAAGTGGAAGCCTGAAATAGAGATTTTTTCTTCCCCCTTTGAAATATATTGAATCAAGCTAGTCAAATTTATCATTTCATATTATACACTCGTTTTGTCTTGTCAAGTGGGATGTGAAGATTTTTTTTTTACAACATACTTAGTTGCTGTTTTCCTTCTTTTTTTTAAATTATCTGTACTGAAAAACTTACTTTGTTGTATTGATGCAGTTCCTTCTTCAGTGTGCCGAGCAATTGCCTCACAAGATACCTTTGTATGGAACATTGGTAGGTAGAGTATACTATTAAATTATTATTTCCTCAAGTTCTTTTTGTGAATCTTCGTTTTTGCTCGGTATCAATGTCAAGGTGGATGATTTTAGATAAAATACAGAAATCATTTTTTGTCAGAAGCGTACAAGGTTTTATATGAAAGATTTGAAGCATAAAATTGCAATTGGCAGAAACTGGAAGTTGAATTGATAAATGTATAGCTAAGGATTGTTTTTAAGAATGCAGTATGAGCATAACTACTGTTGGTTTCTTGTTGCAAATTGCTTCACAGACGTGACATAGTAGGAAAAAATCAATATAACTAGATGATAATTTAAGACCTATTCTCTGTAAAAGACTTTTAGAGAATTGATTCTTTCATTATGAAAATTAATTCCACGCACCACTTGGTGTTCTGATGCCATTTTTGGGAAGCAAAAAAATTGGGCAGGCCACTTAGAACTAACTATAATTCGATAGTTCGCATCAAAACAATCTTTTTATAATATAGTTAGTTCCTTACGGTGGCAAAATTTCTCTTCTATTTATATTTTATTTTTTGTAATTACTTTATATATTTATTGACTTTTCCTACCTCATCATTAGCTTTTGCTTTGAATTGGGCTCATGAAAAACATTATTTTGCTGTCCAATACTTGACCAAGGCCATAAATATGCTCTGTAGAAGTGGTTTCTTATTGTTTTGAACACCATCCTTTCTGCCTTGCCTTATTTTTTTAAAATGAAAATGAAACTTTTATTGCTGTAGCACAAAGCACCCATGAATAAAAATTTCAAGTAGACATAACTGGTGGTTCATCTTTACAAAATTAAAAAATGTGAGGATGTGGACAATGCTTATTAGGTCCAAACAAATAGCTAATGTAGAAGTATATTCTTATGCCTGGAGAATGGAAACTCTATTTTATTGGTGCCTTCCCTTCCTCTCATCAAATTGCATCACCACATACACTAAAGAGCCAGCCTCGAAGTGCTATAATTCCTCTTATTTCTTTTTGTATGGGTATTATTTAAGCCAGAAGTCCGTAGTGAACAGGTAATTTTCCTGTGAATGCCACATGTTGGGAGAAAGTATTTCCTCTTAACCTCCTGTATAAAAAGGTATATACAGGTATTAGGGCGAGTTTCTTTTTCGCGTGGTAGAGAGAAAACAGATAGAGGTGTGAGTCCAGCAAATCGATAACATTCTAGAGCACCTTTTTTGACAGCTACACTGTTCAACTTCTGCTTAATATAATTTGAATGAACTTCGGTTTTCCTATGCCACTATTATGCCTATTATAGCTGGTTTTTGATTCTCCAAGCAGCATTTGATATTGTTTTAAATTAATGTAAATACTTTGTTAGGCGGTAATTTTTTTCCATTTGAGAATGTCAGTCATGCTAATATATGTTTGCTAACAGTACGACTTTACATTAGCACTTTTAACTAATTTCTTCTGATGTATTGTGATTTTTATACTTTTGATTTCCTGCTGATGACAACACACTTCTCCCATTCGTTTTAATTAACACTCTCCTATTTCTGTAGGTTGGTCTACTAAATCTAGAGAATGAGGATTTTGTCACAAAAGTTGTAGAGAATACTCAAGCTAATTTGCAGGTGAGGGATCCCAAGATAGAGACCATATTTGCTTGTATGTTCCATTTAACCTCTATACAGTAGGCATACTTCTAAACGTTTTTTTATGAATGAAACTGCCTTTATTCCTCTTGCTATGTCCTCCATTTTACTCCCCCCCTCAAACAGTACATCCTTTTTCCCTTCACAGACAATTTAAATAATATGTTGATCTGGTTGTGACAAATCTGGCCATCGCGCTTGTCTCAGTCAACTGGGGATGTTGGGTTTTGAATTAATTGTTTTGCTTGATCAGTATGTGAATGCTGTATAAGCGATTTGTTTTTTTTCTTCAAGGATATAGTTGAAAGAAAAAGCTTCATGTTATTGTTATCGAAGCCTACAATGTGTTTGGTGAGACGAATTCATTCGTTTATAAGTGTCTACCGAAACCGAATGGTTCCAAAATTATATTTGGAACCGACGGGTCCATTTACTAAATACCCGAAAATTTTTGGAACCGAAAAAAACCGAACCGAACCGAACCGAACCGAACCGACCCGCGCCCACCCCTATGTATAAGCGATTTGTTTTTTTTCTTCAAGGATATAGTTGAAAGAAAAAGCTTCATGTTATTGTTATCGAAGCCTACAATGTGTTTGGTGAGACGAATTCATTCGTTTATAAGTGTCTTGTGTATTTCAGGCTGCTTTGGACTCTGGAAATTGTGACAGGATCCGTGTATTGATGCGCTTTTTGACTGGCTTGGTATGTGTCAGCAGGCTACTCTACTGGTTCAGAAATCATTGCCTTATTTTAAAAGTTTTGAACCTTTACAACTTAACTAGTATCTTGGATTTAGTAAAGAAATAAGGCCTTTCTTTAATAATTTATTTTCTTTCCTATGTCATGTTTAACTGAGATACAGGGATTAATATTTCTGGATTGAATCAAGATATTTAGACTATTTAAATAATCGAGGTGGGGAGTTCAGGGTTCGGTGCATTGGCAAAGAGCCTGAACTAAAAACCAAAACTCCATGGGTTTAATTTTAGGCTTCCTTTTTGAGTCTTTTATGCCCAATATTTGATCTCTTGTATCTCTTGGTTAGCCAGGAATCAACTGGGAATGAATTATTATTACGTTGAGTTACTTGGAATTAGATGGATGTAGGAGGGAAGTCTAATGTACATTCTCACCTCTGCTGTATATAAATATAAGGGGAAGCTGTTTTTCTCTTCTCTAAAGATTTTGAAGTACAGTTTTCCAATTAAATATAGTGTCTTCCCGACTCTATTGAACTTCCGAAAATGTCTTCAATTTTGTTCACTTGATAATTGAGAGGGATAAGAATTTTTCGTTACTTTTTTGACATCCCAAGTCTTTGCATTGTACTTTGTTACTTTATCCTATTCATCGTTTAAATAATTGGAAAAACATAATTTTTCAAGAAAGAATATTACATAATTTGCTTCATTCTCTTTCGGGGTACTGGGTACAGATGTGCAGCAAAGTTCTTCAACCGAGTTCTTTGGTGGTTTTGTTCGAAACGTTACTATCATCAGCGGCAACAACAGTGGATGATGATAAAGGAAATCCCTCTTGGCAAGCTCGTGCTGACTTTTATATAACTTGTATTTTGTCGTGTCTCCCTTGGGGGGGAGGAGAACTGGTTGAGGTAAAGCTTCTTTCTTTGATAGGCAATTTTCACTTTGGTTCTAGATAGACATTAACTATTTCAGGCTTCATTTTGATGGCTTTTTTAGGGGTCTTCCCTGATTATAATTTTCTCAACTTTAGCACGACTTTATCTCCCTCTGACGCCCCCTTTTTCTTCTGATAAAAAAAAATATATAACCATGACAACAAATACAGTTGCGATTTTTTCCTCTTCTTCTTTTCAGCTTCATATTTCTTCCTTTTTCTTTATTTTCTCTTCACATTTTTAGCCTTAGTGGACTTCTGGAAGACATGTTAAGTTCTTTCTTGTACTATGGCTGCCAATTAACATGAGAGATGATAGTTTAAGTTTGTTTGACTGCCAGCAAGTTCCTGAGGAGATTGAGAGGGTTATGGCCGGCATACAGGCATACATGAGCATTAGAAGGCATGTTTCTGACACCGGCTTCTCTGTCTTCGAGTATATTGATGAAAGCAACCAATCTGACAATGAAAAAGTACGTGTTATGGTCTTGCTTATAAGGCTTTGAAATTTTAGTATGTTTCCTTGTTCCCTTCGGGGAGTCAGAAAGAATGATATTTTGCATTCATAAAGTACTTGGCTATTGATTCTCGACTATTAATTTTTAAGTTTATTTATGTTTAGGATTTCTTGGAGGACTTGTGGATTCGGATTCAAGATCTTTCTAACAATGGGTGGAAGCTTGATAGTGGTACTGTTACATTTGTGATTTGTCTTTAATTTTGGTTGTTTCACACTTTTTGCTGTATATATATTATCCTGTGCTCCAATCACACTTCCCATGATATTATGCCAAATAATTTTATCAAATGCCTTGTCCTTCCTCATCAACTAGGAAAAGGTAGAATGTTCAATTTGGGAGGTGGGTTCTACTTTCAAATGGCAGTAGCATTATATGAGCAACTTCCCACCCAAATTCTTATTCTTAGCATATTTATACTGGTGCTTATTACATTTTTGGTTTCTGCAATAAAGTTATATTCTCGATGTATTTCCTCTATTCTGAGTTATAAATCCCTTTCCAGTTCCAAGCCCACATCTTTCATTTGAAGCGCAACTTGTTGCTGGGAAATCTCATGATTTTGGTCCCATAAGCTGCCCTGCCCATTCTGATCCTCCTACTGCACTAATATTTTCTCGATGTATTTCCTCTATTCTGAGTTATAAATCCCTTTCCAGTTCCAAGACCACATCTTTCATTTGAAGCGCAACTTGTTGCGGTGAAATCTCATGATTTTGGTCCCATAAGCTGCCCTGACCATTCTGATCCTCCTACTGCACTATCTGGGATTGCCTTTGGCAGACAAAAGCATGAAGCTGAGTCAAAATATCCTCAAAGGATACGGAGGCTTAATATATTTCCTTCTAGTAAATATGAGGTACTTTACTGAGTCATGATCTAGTTGATTGAATGTAGATGTATCTTTTCAAATTCTCGTATTTGTGAAGTCTATATTACTTTTTTAACCCATATCTAAATGTGCAACTCTGTAATTCCCAGATAAGACAATAAAATAATAAGCCTGTTTAGTACCTGAATTAATTTCTGGTCATGGCAGTATTTTTACTCTGCTACTAAGTTCCTTAACAATGAATGGCTACTGTTACGTTTTTAACCACAATGCTTCAACGTTCTTGGAGTCTGGTTTCTGCACTGAGATTGAGTTTTGCATTACTATTTACTAGCATAATAATATTGGTAGCCTTCATTAATGAGTATAGATTATGGTATGTGAAAATGCATTTTCTCTTCCCGGTGCAATGGGCAATTTACCAGTAGACTTGCTTTATTGTCCTTATCACGGAAATTCTAAGTTTAGAAGTCTTTCTGTTTTTTCTTCCCTCCAGTTATTTTGGGGAATTTACTTTTAGTAATCCATCCATTTCTAGCACAGTGATGTTTTAATCTATGTGAAACATTCAGTTACTTTTGCAAGTTCAATTTCTTAAGGTACTCTATAGCTTTTTCTAGCTTGTCTGTGCTTTTCCTTAAATGTTCTGTACAGCCTTTCTTTTGAATGTTTAACAAGTTTTTTATCATGCCCAACTTTTGGGGTCATTGGATGTGAAAAGATTAAGTGATTATTCGGCCCTTGTAAACTAGGTCCAACATGGTTACCATAATTAAGTCTTCATCTTAATGCAAGCACTTAATTTTGTTGGAACTCTCTTTTTCCCGTTGATGGTTAAAATTTTGATTTTTTTTTCCTTTACTGTTCTGTTTGTGCATAACTGAAAAGTAATTTAGTACCAATCTATGTTGGTTGTAAAAAGTCTGCACTTGGCAAATCTTTACGGAATTGCAAATTTTTTGACATCACGATGTTACGTAATCATTGATCAACATGGTTTTGAGGATGTCATGATGGCTGGTATGACTGAAACTTTATCAATCTGCCCGTATTTTGATGTTTTCTTTTTTTAATTGTCCTAATCGACATAATTCCTTTTTTCCTATACTTTGGAAGTTCAACTTGTGTGCCTTGAAACTGTTTACCACTTCAAAAGTTCTGCACTTGAGAGATGGTATCTGAGTAGAACCTATGAGTATAGCTTTGATGGTTTGCATGTATTCACTTCTATTCTTTCTTTTTACATGTTGTTTATTGGACTCTCGTCAGTGGCTCATTTTCCCCTGTTCCTTCTTTTTCTAATGGCAGGATGTGCAGTCTATAGATCGGTTTGTTGTGGAAGAGTATTTGTTGGATGTGATGTTGTTCTTAAATGGCTGGTTAGTAGATGTGTTGACTCAACTCATTTTGTTCACTTAGTTCACATTAATTCTACAGTAGTTTCTGGTAAATGTCGATTAGTTGTCTTGGAATAAATTTTGGCATTTGAAATATGTTGGTAGGTTGGAAAGGAGGATTGGGCATTCACACTTCTATTAAGCAGATATGCCCATTAGAGATAATTGAATTGCTTTTGCATCAAAGTTCTTATTAAGTTCTATTCTGTCTCTTGTTGATTGTCTACCATCGAGAGTATATAAACGAAGAAAGTGAGGAATTGCCAGTGTGCATGTCTGTTGGTGACTTGACAATACAGTTCATCTCCAAGAATTTCACTGTTCCATTTTTCCTCCAAAGAGGGAGAATCATTTGTGAAGAGAAATTTTTTGACATATGACGAGAAGGGAGACTATTTATACTGCTAAAGATTTTCCACCTATGTTGTGCTTGCTTGAATTTTTATACATTAGACATTTCAACTAAACCAACCACATTTGATTTTCTTTACTTTCTTTTATATGGTGATCATTCGGAAACCTTGCTATTTCACCTTGCAGAAAAACTTGTACTCCTATTTTCTTCACCATCTATATTGCTATTATGCAAAATGCATCTATCTGACAGTATTTCCCATCTTGGTGATATTTGGATTAGAGTAAATGGAGTTGTTTCCTGCCTCGTGATTTCTCTTTGGGCTTTAAATTTTCTGGTTGAAATGTTCGTCCTACTTCCTACCCTGTCCAGATTTAGGTTGAAGTGCAATTGGCTGAGCATGTTTTCTTTAATGTCATGAAATTTATGCATATGATTCCTTAGGTACTTTATATTCTTATTCTTTTGTTTTGGTTCTTGCAAAGCTAGTCGAAAGGAATGTGCTTCATACATGGTTGGGCTTCCTGTTTCCTTCCGATATGAATACCTTATGGCTGAGACAATTTTCTCTCAGGTATGAAGTGAGATTTTGTGCATGTTTGTGAAATGTTATAATTTCCTTATAATTTAATTGTCAAAGTCAAACATTAATCTTTACCACACATTTCGTAGGACCCAATGTTACTACACACTCATCCACTACTCATTTCTATCGCACTATAATTTCATCAACTTATAATTTTATCCAAAGAATGACAATATTAGGTTTTTTTTATTGAAGTTCTCAAGCTGATTAACCAAACAATAGCAGGGGTGCCCTTGCATGGGAGGGTGGAGGGTTTTTGCATTTGGATATTTTCTTATGAAGAGTTGAGTTTAGACGTACCCATGTCTGTGATTTCATTATGAAGTATACAAACTCATAAAATATGCATAAAGATCTTGGGGAGATGACTCTTATGGCCATCCCTTGGCTTGCCTCGATTTACAGAGACAGAGAAGAATAGGATTTTTGAAAGTCAATGTATGTTATCATGTGATGTCTGGCAAAGCTAGTTACCCTTGATCTCTGTGATCTTAGGCAGCAGGATCTTTTAGTGGCAACCCTTAGCTGATGCGCAGAGTGGATGGAAAGATCTGCTTATTTTGCCCCTGTTTGGTTTAGATAAAAATCTGATTTTTGATAGATTTGATAAAAGTTATTGAAATGCATTGTTGAAAAGTTGATAAAAGTTGTGGGTCCCATAAAATGAGTGGTTGAAAATGAATTTGAGAAAAAATGAGTTTTAGAAAATGGACGCCAAATAGGGGCTTAGTTTTATGTTTCTCTCTCTTCCAGAAAACTGCTTTCACATATTTGTACTTGATAATTTCTCCCAAAAAAATTGTTCATATGTCCTTTCATTATTCAATATACTATTCTAAAAGCAGTGGTAGTTTACCGTGTCCATTGAGGGTACTCCACAGCACAAAGAATGAATTAATAAATGATTAAAATTGAATAGAGAAAGGTAAGTAGATTTATCCAACAAAAGTTCAAGAATGACAGGTGGAATTTTAATTTGGGGTTATAATTGATTGATACACTAACGTGTATCTTCTCTTTTCAAAATTTTTGGCCTTGCAGCTTCTTTTGTTGCCTCAGCCCCCATTCAAGCCAATGTATTATACTTTGGTCATTATTGACCTCTGTAAGGTACCATTATGCTTTTCCAATTTTATTATACTTCTTTCATTCCCAATATGCTATTCTGTTCTGTAAAACACAATTTCAAGCATTCAACAGTAATAGTTTGGAAGGCACTATCAAGTGTTCTGACTGGTGGCGGGTTCATTACAGGCTCTTCCTGGTGCCTTCCCGGCAGTTGTAGCAGGGGCAGTCCGTGCTCTTTTTGACAAAATTGCTGATTTAGACATGGAGTGCCGTACACGCCTTATCCTTTGGTTCTCACATCACTTGTAAGTTCGTCTCTTGTAGACATGTATGATTGGTGATATTCAGGTGGAGAGTTTTATGCTTTTTTTGTCTCTTGTAGACATGTATGATTGGTGTGATATTCAGGTGGAGAGTTTTATGCTTTTTTTGAAGGCAGTTTATGAAATTTTATTTGTGCAAATGTCACATCTCAATTAATGAAATATTTCTTGTTCAAGTAGTGCCTGTCATCATTCAGATCCTTGGAATGCATATAGGTTGTTTACAAAAATAATAGTTCTATTTTTCCTGGAATTTATTACATATTTTGTCTTCTACTACTACTCACATCTTCATACATATTGTTGAGAACCAACCCTTACAACCAAACCCCAAAACAGATTTTTACTGCCACTTTGACACATTTGATTATAATAACTACATGCCAATACAGGCAAGTGTTTGTATTTGTGTTTTTGGTGTAGAGCTGAAGCTATCTAGTTCTGTAAAAGTCTCTTCCTTGATGGATGCATGGTAGCGAAACAGAACATTAATTAGAGCTTAGTAGGAACTGTGGGTAAAAATTGGAAAAGCTTGCCTTGTTGTAATGGTGTATATTTTATAGCGACTTCGGTTTGAAACTAATATAAGGTGCCATTTTAAGAAAATAGTTACTTTTAAATCATTTTGATCAATTTGTGCAGTAGGGACTCTTGACACCAAAATGTGCTTTGAAGTGGTCGTTCCTTATGGGTTTATGTATAAAAATGATATTTGTTTAGGATTCTCCATGCCTCATTTGTGTACCTTGTGCATCATTGGACATCTTTCTGTGCGAATGTGCTCTAGTATGCCCTGACTTGTGCTGACACATCATTCTCAGAAAATTTTCTCACTGCTTCATTGTTTCGTGGTATTTTGGGCTGCAGATCAAATTTCCAATTCATATGGCCGTGGGAAGAATGGGCTCATGTCTTAGACCTCCCAAAATGGGATCCACAACGAGTATTTGTCCAAGAAATTTTGGAAAGAGAAGTGCGTTTGTCTTATTGGGACAAAATTAAGCAGGTATATTATGCCGTTGGTTAGTTATTTTAATTTGCTTGTTTTACTTTTCATTTAAATCAATAAGCAAACAAATATGTTGGCGATAGACAATATGTTGAGCATATTTGTGAGTTATGACTATATAATGAGCTTGTGACATATGATATGAGCATGTCAAAAAGTAATTTCATTTCTTAAGATCAATGGCTGCTAAAATAATTTTTATTTTGCATTGATTAAGTTCTGATAATGGATGTGTGATGTATCAAGGAGTTGGTACTTTCAGAGTAGTGTGAGTCTATGGTTCCATGTTACAGCCACCTCTTGGAATGCCACACAAGGCACTTCCACGCATGGATGGATTATATATGTTTCTTTAGTAAGGTTGCATGTATTGTCATTATAGGATTGCATATTGGATAAAATGAATACAGATGGGAGAGTAATTTTTTAAATATATACTATAGTGGGCTTGCATGTATTGCCAATTTTAAGACAATGGTTCCTTGTTACAGCCACCTCTTGGAAGGCCACATGGGGCATTTCCACGCGTGGATGGATTATATTTGTTTCTTAAGTAAGCTTGCATACATTGTCATTATAGGATTGCATATTGGATAAGATGAATAGAGATGGGAAAGTAATTCTTATAAATATATATTATAGCGAGCTTGCATGCTCTGATGCTCGAACTCTTCGAAATGGACGAAGTACCCCTGTCGGACACGACACGACGTGGGTAGGAGTATGAAATATGTGTCGGATCCTCCAAATTTTTACCGGACACTTCGCCGTTTCTGCTTCTTTCTTTCTTTTTTTCCTTCCTTCCTCTTTTCTTCTTCGGCGACGGCACAAGGTTTTCTCTTTCTTCTATCTTTTCTCTTGGCCTTTTCTTCTTTTTTTCCTCTCTATATCGATGGTTTGAGGTTTTCTTTGTATGAAATGAAAATGGGTTCCATATAGTGCAACTTAGTATTCCATTAAGCAAAAATTGAGTATTTTGTGTGATTGACTAGTCCTGCATAATGTCTTAAATTTGTTTGTGCTTATAGAGCATTGAGAGTGCCCCTGCCTTAGAAGAGTTACTTCCACCAAAAGGTACACCAAACTTCAAATACAGTTCAGAAGACGGAGGTAAAACTGAGCATGCCCTTTCCTCAGAACTTATTGGCATGGTGAAAGGAAGGCTATCTTCACGTGAAATTGTTTCATGGGTTGAAGATAGTGTGCTTGCCGTTCATGGTTTGGATATCACACTCGGTGTTGTTGTTCAAACCCTTCTCAATATTGGATCAAAAAGTTTCACACATTTGATCACTGTTTTGGAGAGATATGGTCAAGTCATTTCAAGGATTTGTTCAGATCAGGACAAACAAGTTATGCTGATATCTGAAGTGAGTTCATTCTGGAGGAACAATGCTCAAATGACAGCTATAGCCATTGACAGAATGATGGGTTATCGCCTTATATCTAATTTGGCGATTGTGAGATGGGTTTTTTCACCATCTAATGTTGATCAATTTCATATTTCAGATCGTCCATGGGAGGTAAAGCACAACAGTATTTTTTTTCATAATATTCTTAGTAAATTTATGTTATAATATGTGAAGTATTTGGTTTCTGTTTCACATAATTTTTTTTTCTTTATACACAGACGATTCTAAATAATATTATATGCTTCTAGGAACGGGGTTTTAGTTGTAGATTGAGAAATAGGACAGCCTTTTGTTATTACACATAGGCAAACACGTACCTTTTTGTGTAGGTAGTTGTCACATGCATACATTCCAACAATGACGAAGGGACTACTAGTGGATGCTTCCTCTATCATCCTGGGAGTGGTTCTGAGAGAGAGAGAGAAATAAAATGGGGTGAATTGGGGGTGGCCTGCCAGGACATTAATAACACGAGCTAGGATGATTTACATTTTCCAGAGAAAAAAATTTTCAATTTGTGCAATTAGTATTGCTCTAATCTCACATCTACCTTGTTTCATTCACTGTCAAAGTACAAAATTTGTAGAAGTACATGTTAGTTGCCTGAATTGATTTTCCCAAACTACTACATTGGATGTTATTTCGAACAATTAAGGATTGGGTTACGTATCCACCTTCCGGGACATTCAAATCTTGCTATGGAAAATAAGAGAGGTCGGGCCATATTTATCTCATATGTATACCTACTGTTTCAAATTGTTGCATTGCAATATCTGATTACTGTTGGGCATCCGCAACTTTGTGTATAGAATTACAGGACGATAACAAGCTTAGATTGATGGTATTTTACTTTACATGATGTGATTAGTAAATGAAAGCAAGATGTAAGTCTTTTAATTAAATCCAGTGGAAACCTTCTCGGCTTATGATAATTCTTTCATCAAATATTTGTTTCGATATGTGAATATTAGTTAAAATCTCTCTGCTATTGCAGATTCTGAGGAATGCTGTGAACAAGACATACAACCGTATTTCTGATCTAAGGAAGGAGATGTCATCCTTGAAAAGGAGTGTTTTATCAGCTGAAGAATCTGCATCTAAAGCCAGAGCAGAGTTGTCGGCTGCTGAGTCAAAGCTTACACTTATGGATGGTGAACCTGTTCTTGGTGAAAATCCTGTGAGAATGAAGCGTTTGAAATCTCAAGTTGACAAAGCAAACGAGGAGGAGGTATCTGTTCGTGAATCATTGGAGGCAAAGGAGGCTCTTTTTGCAAAAGCTGTTGATGAAATTGAGGTACTTTTAGTTAATTTTCTGACACGGATATTATAGCATAAAGAGAAGTTTAATTAATACTTGGTGGATCTGAAATATTTTCGTGTCGAAATAATTTGAATTAATATTAAGTTCATTGAGAACTGGTTTCTTATTGGATCCATGTTTTATCCACAGGCTTTATTTATTTCCTTATATAAAAGTTTTTCCAACGTGTTGGTGGAACCCCTTCGTGATGCATTTAAAGATGGAATGTTGCGGCGGACTGATGCAGCAGATGAAATGCCGATTGATGATGAAGATTCATCTGCAATGGAATTGGACAAAGAGAGCGAAAAATCAAAGAAAAGGTGCCCCCCCTCTTTCCGTAACTCTGTTGTCTGATGAAATTGTGTACCCGATAATTTTTTGGTTGCTATTTTATGTTCCTTTTCCTTGGTTTGGGTGGATGTTGCAGTCACTCCAACGGGGACAGGAGCGGAAATGATTATACTGTTGGTGAAAAAGAGCAATGGTGTTTATCAACTCTGGGTTATGTCAAAGCCTTCACCCGCCAATATGCTTCAGAGGTCAGTTCTTCCCTATGATTCCCTTTCTGGTTCTTTTCCACTTTGTACTTGGCTTTTCTTGTTCTATGGTTCGAGAATGACAATCACTCTGGAGCTTGCGTGAAGCGATGCTTTTGATGATTTTCCAAATTGCGTATTTTTAATTTCTGGTGAAGAGGTGAATGATAGGGCTTTCTTTAATTTTCAAAATATGGTGTCAACAAAGAACAGAACGTGTCAATTTGTACTCTCTTACTTTAGTTCACTTGAGGCCTTATGTGCCTACCTGGAATCAGAGTCCCCCCCCCCCCCCCCCCCCCCCCCCNCCCCCCCCCCCCCCCGCCCCCCCCCCCCCCCCCCCCCCCACGGAGAGGGTTTAGCATCTGTTTTTCCCTAAAGCCTGGCACTGGGAAATATCGGTATATGTGACTAAACTTAAAAATTACTTGCAATTAAGAAAGAATTCTTAAGATAAATAATTTGTTGGTTGGTTAAAATGGGAAATGAGCAAGATATTTTAAGTGAAAGTAATTCCTACTTTACTGTCTTGATAAATTCTTTCAGTATGTAAAAGGTAATACATCCCAACATGTATGGAAATAAGAAGTTAAAAAGTAAGTTGACTTAACTTTTAAGCTTACGAAAACATGCTGCTAGGTGCTCCAGCAGCTTTTAATTTCCTTATAGCATACTTTGGTAGGAAGATTGGACATCACTGGATATTACTAAAAACTTGACCTTTTTTGCAATGATGAACAGATTTGGCCGCATGTTGAGAAATTAGATGCTGATGTGTTATCGAAAGACGTGCATCCACTTTTCCTAAAAGCCTTTTACGCCGGTCTGCGACGACCAATGAGTGATTTGGTGTAAGTGGTGGACATGCTGTGAGCACATCTGGATAGGAAAGAGCTTTATATATCTTTCAAGGTTTGTAGTGGAGCGAAGATTTTATTAGAATCATTTCATGTACCAACAAAAATAATTACTATGATCAATGTTAGTTTTAGGATTATATGACATTCTCTGCCAGTTGGTTCGTTGTTTCCAGTTTCAGTCTATCTCGCGATTTTTATCAGTTGAATCCTCGAGTATGACTGATAATATGAATTTGGTTCACTAGCGTTAATGTGAAACATTTTTTAGTTGAGTTTTAGCTAGACATGCCTCGTCTATTTTATAGATGGGTTTATTTTTTAAGCCCTCGTTTGGTGCACATTTTTTGGAAAAAGAATACGCCCCCGTTTGACACCCATTAATTTCTCTTTCTATTTCTCATTCTCATTCTCATTCTTCATTTCAACCACACATTCTCCTAATAAAATAATATTACACACAAATCAAAAACTTTTCATCACTTTTCCACCACACATTCTCACATCAATCACTATTCCAAAATTTCTATTTCTCCCAAAATGGGTTTCAAACAG